AAACCGTTTAAAAACTTTAAAACTTAAACCTAACTAACTAACGTAACTAATTACTTTATTAGTACTTTCGTTTCGGTTCCGTCCGTCGTACGCTCTCTCCCTCCCTCCTTCTCTCTCTCTCTCTCTCTCTCTCTCTCACACACACACACACACACACACACACACACACACACACACACACACACACACACACACACACACACGTTGCAATCTCTACTGCATGGTAGTTGCTCCATTAAAATTCCATTATCTCTTGCATCAATTTTCAAGTTTTGTATCACTTTTGTGAGTATGATGTTAATATTATACCTTAGTATTCACTTACAAGTTTTTTGTGTTGTTTGTTTTTCACAATTCTTGTCTTAAATATGGAACTTGCATATTTTTATAACAAAATTGTTTTCTTTCTCTCTCACTCGAAGCATTAAAGAATGGCTGGTTCATCAGAACACCAACCAAATCTTTTGCTGTTTATGCTGCCACAGCTACTGAAAAATCAGAATGGATGGCTCATATTACTAAGTGCCTAGAAGATTTATTGAAAAAAAGTAAGTTATATTTAAATGCAGAGTTTTCCAGAAATGTTTTAAGGCATTTTGATATTCTTGGATCCAAGAAAATATGAAACAACAACACTTTGTAATAAAATTTATATTTATTTTATTACAATTTACAGCTTTCACAGTAAGTGTGATTTGTTTTTAGAACAGGTACAACATTTCAATCACTAGTGCAATCATTCTCAGGTACACATGTATATCTATATAAAATGAAAAAAGGGCTGAGCTTATTTAAGAGTAAATGGTTGTCTATGACCCTGAAATTTGTAATCACATTACATATATGTTACTTTCTTGGTAAGAAACATTTAACTACAATAAATTAGTGGACTTTATATTTATTATTAAACAGAACGTGAATAATAATAACGTTTTTGAATCAACATTGTCACCTCAAACCTGACATTTCGGGTGAACTGGAACTGTGAAGTAAGACAATAACATAATAAAATTTTGTTTTCTTGTGTCTTTAACTCTCAAATTACTGACTTGTTTTAATACTATTGGTTTAGCAGTAGGGTTCATTTATTACACATATTAGGTATATTCTTGTATTTGTCTGTTAAAAATTGACCAAACTAGAAGTGGTTGAAATTGCCTATTTTCTCTGTAACTAGAGAAAATTAGTGCTTTCAGATAGTGCTTTAACCAACACAGTTATGAACTAACTAGCAATTTGCTGCATATATAGTATAGAAAAATGTATTTGAAAAGTCAGTGGTATTTATATAGACCCTCCATTTCTGACTGTAGGAGAATGTTATTATTTTTTCCCCATCAATATATAGAATAAATATATATATGTGTGTGTATATAGATATATATGTATATGTCATATTGATAGGTATGAAATCCTCCTCAACCAAATTTTCTTTTTGTGTGTGTGTGTGTCTAGAATGTAGTGGATTAATAAGTTATCACAATAGTGTCAAAACATAAGTTTTTCAAAATTTTCCAATATAGGTTTTTATTATTATTATAAAGTTGTAATAGTTTTATTTTATTTTTGTATGAATTCTTATTTTTAGGTATTTTTAACCAGTTAAAAAAAGAGTTTAATATCATATATTCTAATTATGCTCACCACCAGTTTTGAGATGGTTAAAGAAGTTTTAGTTACATCTAATATAAGGTTTTTTGTTTGATTTTTCAGGGATTTATTCTTATGAAAGATTATATGACAAGCGAATTTGTTTTGTGAATATTTTGCAATATATATAACAACACACTAATATCATAATATAATATCATTATATCTATCAAGGAAACTCGCATTATAACAATTTAAATACACAGAAATGAGTTAATCACTGATGTAGAAGTTCTGATGAACTAACAAAGTGATATTTAGATAATTCTAATTCTTTACCAGGATTGATATGTTTACAGTTTATTTCTCTAAAACAATAGGTAAAAAAATGGAACATTTACCTTACAATAGTGTCTCAAGTTGAGATATTAAGTGCAGATCTTGCTACATGACTAATTTGGTTGAATTTTAAAGAAGAATAAAGCAGTAAAACATTATTTGTCCAAATGTGTATAGATGGAAACCAAATAAATTATTATATTTTGCTTAATGTGATAAGCTACTTATATGTACGTGACTGACATCTGTATTGAATCTCAAGTCAGGTGATTAAATAAAGTTGTGAAGCTCTGACCACTTTTTACCTCAAGTCAGATGATTAAATAAAGTTGTGAAGCTCTGACCACTTTTTACCTCAAGTCA